AAAGTTGGATGCTTTGATTCAGAAAAAAGTTTCCTGCAGTGTCTGGAATTAAAAGTTTACCACCTTTTTCTTTTTTTTTTTTTTTTTTTTTTTTTTTTTTTTTAAAGAGGTCAGAACATTACTGCACACAAAAGCAGGTGTGAAGCCACACCTGTTGGAATGGATCCCCTTCCCTCCACACTGAGGAACAGAGGGCAGGTTCTTGGCACCAGAAGAGAAAAAGGAGGAAGTTTTCCTCATTACCAGTCAGAAATGAGTCCTCCTTCCATCCCCAGTTGACAAAGTCCTTCTGACTGGATTTAAACCAAAGTAAAATATACCTCAGGCTGGGTATATTTGCCTCCAAGACTCTGTTCAAAATGTCTGGACACACAAAGCTCTGTATCCAAACCGTGGTGTGGAATAACCAAAACTCCCAATTCCCAGAGCTGGCAGCCCAAGTCCTCAAGTGCAGCTTCCCCTCCTCACCCAAGCTCAGGTGGGAGAGGCACTGGCAGCTCAGCTCTGAGACTACACTTCCAAGACCAATGTGGTCTTGTGAGGAAATGGCAATTCAGTGACTGGAATTCACACATGGAATGAACCATTCACAACATGAAATGACCTCCCTACAGTCAGGTACAAACAGGTAGCCCACAGCAGAGTAGCCAAGGAGTGAAACAGCATCTCCCTCCCTTGGGTTAGAGGGGAAGTTGTTTCTGTGGGTCATTAAAAGTACTTGGATAGAAAAGCTTAAAAATGTATTACCCATTACTGAACCACAAAAAGTAATTAAAAAAAACAAACAAACAAAAAACAAACAAACAAAAAAAAAGAAACAGAAAATTCAGTTCCTAGGATTTTCCCTCCCACCACATGGTATTTCTTTATCCCCTCCCACTTTTGCATTTCCAATCACCCTACCCCTTTAGAAAAAGGAAGGGGAGTAGAGTTTAGTCAAGTTCCATCTGCAAAACTCCCCAGCAATGAATGAACCATCAGCTTCCACGTTTCCTGAAGTCCATCCAAAGGCTCTGGGGTACAGCTGGACTGGTGGTGCACTCTTGGCTCTGTGAATGGTTGTGCTGACCCTGCTGAATGGGTTTATACTGGGAATTCTTAGATGGAACTCCCTGAAAGAGGAAAAAAAGAGATCTTGTAACTCAAAAATAATTTTTTGTATCTTTTCTTAAAAGAAGAAATCCCACTGTAATAACACATCCATGTCTTCATCTCCTGGATTTCACCTGCAGCAGTCAGTTTGTTCTGGCTCCTGCCTGTTGCCAGATCTCTATAGCAGAAAGGAATTCAAGGTATTCACCATCCAAATAAAGCTACTGTTAGGGATACAGGAAAATGGGAAAAAAGAGCCCAGATAAAAGATGGGATCTCCCAAAGGCCAAGCAGATTGATTTTGTTAAGAAATCCTTTAAGCCTGAGGATTGATTATAATGTGCAATCTTCCTCCAACCTGAAATCCCCACTCCCTCTCCGAAGGAGCTCTTCTGCTATTCATCCTAAAAAGTCCCTTTTTCCCCCCACCACATTCTTGATTCTTGTCTCAGAGGCTCCAGAGGAGGCCACTAAGTTGATCAAAGGGCTGGAGAACCTCTCCTATGGAGACAGGCTGAGACAACTGAGGCTGAACTCTGAGCCTCCTTTTCTCCAGGCTGAGCCCTCCCAGGTCCCCCAGCCACTCCTGGTGCTCCAGAGACTTCCCCAGCCCTGTCCAGCCTGGCCTTGGGCACTGCCAGGGATCCAGGGGCAGCCACAGCTGCTCTGGGCACCCTGTGCCAGGGCCTGCCCACCCTCCCAGCCAACAATTCCTGCCCAATATCCCATCCAGCCCTGCCCTCTGGCAGTGGGAGCCATTCCCTGTGTCCTGTCCCTCCAGGCCTTGTCCCCAGTCCCTCTCCAGCTCTCCTGGAGCCCCTTTAGGCCCTGCAAGGGGCTCTGAGCTCTCCCTGGAGCCTTCTCTTCTCCAGGTGAGCACCCCCAGCTCTCCCAGCCTGGCTCCAGAGCAGAGGGGCTCCAGCCCTTGGAGCAGCTCCGTGGCCTCCTCTGGACTGGCTCCAGCAGCTCCACGTCCTCCTGATGTTGTTCCCCAGGGCTGGGGCAGCTCTGCAGGTGGGGTCTCATGCCCACCTCCCCCATTCCTGACCTAAGGCCCCCACACCTTTCAAAGCACAGGCTAAAAAGCAAAGAATCACCAATATTTAAGATTCCTCCTGAAAACCTCCCTGTCCCCAATGTTTAAGATGAGACACAGCACTATCACCTTACCTGGACTATACATTTTCCATCTCCTGGTCATGGTCCTGCTCCTCCTCCTCCTCTTCTTCTTCTCCTTCCTCTTCAGCTCCTTCTTTCTCCGAGGGAGGCTCCCCATCCCTGGCGATCTCCTCCACGTGGGCCAGCATGTCAGCCATCAGGGCCTCCTCCAGCCTCTTCCTCACCTGCTGCACCAGCTCCTCCTGCTTCCTGCCCAACACAAGGGACACCCAACATCAGCCCCCAAGGCTGCCCCTGTCAAGGGAAGAGTCTCCAATCCTCCCAACATGAGACAAGGACTGAAAAAGCCCTCTAAGAACTCCATTGTGTAACAAAAAAATCCCCCCCAAAAACCCCACCTGGCATTGTACTGTAAATGAAGATGAAAAACACTAAAAATTTGTCCAATATTTACATTATGAGTTGATTTCTGGCTGAAATTTGGCAAATCTAGCAGCTAACTTTTTTCTTTCTTAGCCTGATGCCGATTTTCAACTCTTACTACTAATATCTAGCAAGTCAGCCTACCCTGCACAGACTTTCAAAAATAAGACTGGAGAAAATAAGTTTCAGGCCATTTCTTTCTGCTCATTTTCCTTTTGAGTCCCAACCCTAAGAAGTCAAAGACACAGCAAAGAAGTGATCAACAATCAGTGGCTCATGGGGATCCTATTTCAGCTCAGCCACAGGACATCAAAGTTACAAACAGACTGTTTTTCTTGGTCATTTATGTCTTGATCAAGACCAGAAAAGTCATCCTGTATCAAGCAGTCAAAGCAAGGACTGCCTTTAAACACTTAATAAATGCAAACTGCATGCTGCAGGCCTTTGGTATATTCAGTTCTTCATCAAAAGCTTAAAGCCGAGTTTGACCAATCCTGATTTAATATTTCATTACTGATAGCAGAATAAACTGCATCCCTGCTCCCTGTCACCAGAGCAGGCACAGCTTGGATTTGACCAACCCATACATTTTATTTAATTCATTTACTGACACAGGGGAAGGTGAAGAGAATCCAATCCCATCGTTCAGGATTTCTCCAATCCCATCTCTGCTCAGAGGTGCCTCAGTCAAGATTCCCCAACTTGGACAGACTTGTAATTAAAGGAAACTTGACATGAAAAATAAACATGAGCCTGAAACTCCAGAGTAACTGAGCATGAGGTCAAATAAAAAATAATGGGCTTTAAGCACACGACAGAGCTTAATGTAACTACTTTTGTCTACTCTATTGCTAGAGAGCCATTCAAATTAATTCCCAAGCCACAGTGCTCCATCAGACATTTAGAAAGAAAAGGAATGCACAAGGAACCTTGTTCCAGGACACCAAGTGCTATTTCCAGTTCATACCTGATATCTTCATCTGTCACCATGAAGGCTTTGCAGAGAGGCTGGGAGGTGTTCAGCCAGACCCCAGGGTTCTTCTCCACGGCTGCAGAGAGCTGGCCAGTGATGGGCATGGTGCTGGTGTGCAGGGCACTGGCGATGGCAGAGAGCAGAGTCTCATCCGTGCAGCCGGGACCAACCCCTGCAAGGGGGAGGGAAATCCATAACCAGCACTGCCCCAGGCAGGGAGCAGGAAATCAGGACAATGGGAATTAAATTTTAATGGCAAAGCACAGGCTGTCAGTTTGAAAGCTCACACGACATAAATCTCAAACCTAAATGCTTCTAACAACACCTGTGCAGCTCTCTGAGGGTATTTAAACTTAGAGCAGTTCCTCATTCTGTTACCACCAAAAAGGTAGTAAAAACCACCAAACTGGGAAGGGAAGATGTTTCCATTCTGCTTGAACAAGGCTCAGAGAGCTGGGGGTGTTCAACCAGAACAAGGCTCAGAGAGCTGGAGGCTCACAGGAGAGCTCAGAGCCCCTTGCAGGACCTAAAGGGGCTCCAGGAGAGCTGGGAAGGGTCTTTGGGCAAAGGCTTAGAGGGACAGGACACAGGGAATGGCTCCCACTGCCAGAGGGCAGGGCTGGATGGGATATTGGGAAGGAATTGTTGGCTGGGAGGGTGGGCAGGCCCTGGCACAGGGTGCCCAGAGCAGCTGTGGCTGCCCCTGGATCCCTGGCAGTGCCCAAGGCCAGGCTGGACGGGGCTTGGAGCAGCCTGGGATGGTGGAAGGGGTCCCTGCCCATGGCAGGGGGTGAAACAGGATGAGCTTTAGGGTCCCTTCCAACCCAAACCCAAAGAGCATTGTGGATGCTCTGTTCTTTCTGGAAAATGAATCCCCCAAAAGGCTGAGAAGCTTTGCTTCAGTGTCTCCTCAGACCAAAGGGCACTGGGACCCTTTGGCATTGCAGCTCCTGCTGCAGCAGGAATGGCCACAGCCCTGCCAGGCTCTGGGAACAGGGAGCTCACCCTCAGCACCTTCACTCACTGCTGCCAGGTGCCAAAATGCCAACCCTGAGTGAAGGGCACCCTCTGATTACCTTGCAACCCTTTGGGAAGGTCCATTGTTTTCACCAGCTCCTCTGCAATGTCAAAGGCATTCAGTCCACTCAACTTCTTCTCCCAGAAGAGCTGCAGTCAAAGCAGGTGGTTATTGGCACAACCAGAAATGGGACTGACAACTCCACAAAATCCCTGCTTCCTGTGCAGAGAGGGAACAGCAGTGCTGGAGCCAGTTTAATGTGGGTTTACCACAGAAGGGATCTGTCACCTCCAGCAGCAGGAACAATCCTTATTGCCAGTCAGCCCCAAAACTCCTTTCTCCCAGTTTGCTGCCCTAGAAAACTCTCTTTTCTTCCAGGGCATGGTACTTTGACTGCTCTGAGCTGCAGCAGCAAGGCCAGGCTTGTTGACTTTCAGCTACAAGCCCACATGTGAAATAGCCTTTTTTATACCCTATTTCTCTCCTACACATCCCACAGAAAGCTAAGGAATGCAAGAACTGTATTCAAGGTAAAGTATTATTTTCTTCCTGTCCAGCAGTTTGGTCCTGTCCCCCATGTCTGGTCCTTTACCAGATTTTGAGTGACAGCCTCTCCCGAGGCTTAAAATCACCCGAATGTCCAGAGGGGTAGAAAGTCAAATACATCACCTTGATACACCTTTAACTTTGTGCCTGGTGCAGGAGGGATGTCACGAGGATAGCAATGCATAGCTGGATGAATCAACTATCTTGCAAAAAACCACATTTTTATCAAGGTTTTGAGAAATCAAGAATTTACCTCAAACAGACCATTCATATCCCACCCCTTTTTCCTGCCTGTCAAAACCCAAGTGCAACTGACCCCACAGGACTTTTCCAAAAAGGGGAATGAGCACAGTCACATCCCAAACACAGGCTGGATATTCTCTAGCCTTTCAAATAAGTGATTTTTTTTTTTTTGTCACCCAGAGCAGCTGTGGCTGCCCCTGGATCCCTGGAAGTGTCCAAGACCAGGTGGGATGAGGCTTGGAGCAACCTGGGATAGTGCAAGGTGTCCCTGCCCATGGTAGAAGGGTGGAATGGGATCATCTTTAAGATCCCTTCCACTCCCAAAGAATTCTGGGATTCTGGGATTTTTAAGCCAGTGCATGATAGGACTTTGCACTGCTTTCAAATTTTGCAGAAACATCTGGAGTCTGCTGAGCAAAAGTCAAGATACTCTGCAGCCCAGTAAAATATCTTAAACAGGAACACAAATCCAGCTCAGAACTGGGAGAAGGCATTTTATCTTTAGCATTCTGTTTTATTGCCTTAACTATAGCAAAAACACTGTGAGCATACAGGATCTACTTCTGCAGAAAACCATGGTAAGACCCTGCCAACCTGCTTAAAAAACAGAAAAAACTCACCCCAACCACCAAAAAACCCCATCCACTTCAGGTAAGTTATCTCACACTTGCAGCTTCTAGTTGAACTAGGTTTATGTAATTCTTAAAAACTGCTTTCAAAATGTGTTTTTTAAATTTTCAGAAAAGGTTTTCAGTATTCCAACCAATGCATCTTATTTTACCAGGGCCTTGCCTTGTCCTGAGCACCCTTCCCTTTAATTTTGGTGTGTTTTATTGCTTACAATTACACATTATGATATGAAAACCACTTTGATTTTGTATTAATAATAACATTCTAAGTGAATTTATGATCTTATACAGGCAGAGGTTACTCCTACTAATGTACAGTCCCTTGCACTGCAACAAACACCACACTGGATGTGATCTGTGCAGGAACATGGATTCAATGGAACATGGAATTCTTACACACTTGCAACATTGGACAGTGATTCTAAACCTAAGTGTCCTCTGAAGGTTACAATGTCTGAATAATTTTGTAGGTAATACTTAATTTCAGCATTAAGGAAATTCAGGTTTAGCTACACCAGAATTGTGATCTAACCAAAGGCTGGAGTTTTTAAATCCCAGTGCACAGAGTCCATAACGAGAGATTAGGAATGTGATTTGTTCTGATTTTAAGAGCTGGGAGCACTGCAAGCCACTGCTTCTAAAAGATCAAATTTTACTGAATTCTGAAGTGTCAGAGATCAGGAACTGCCAGGGAATAATTGTTCAGCATCACAAAATTAAAGCGGATTATCTTGGGATCCTCCCAGTAGCAAATCCAGGAGTTTCTCAGCCTTACCTGCCTGGGCTGGTCCACAGCTTTCTGGGGGTCACTCTTCACCTTGTTGCTGGGGTGGTTTGTGATCTTTGTGACGGGCTGTTTGAAGATAGAGGCTGTCTGTCTCACGGGCAGGGCTGTGTTCAAATCAGGCTTGCCCTGTTTCAAACAAAAAGAAAAGGAAAAAAACCACCAAAACAGTTTCAATTTGCTAAAATGCTACTACAGCCACAAAGAAGTGCAGCAGGGAACAGTTCCTGGGCTTGAAATCTTGTCTAATCTCAAGTTATACAAGTTAGGCTGCTAAAAATACATAACTAAATTCAAATCTTGCCTTAGACCTATCAAAGTTTTCCACTCATTCTGTTTAACATAGCAGCCTCCTCCCATGTTAGGTCACACACATCAATTTTACTCCCATTTTTAATGACTTTAGGAATCTGAATAAACCATGTGCAATCACTAAAAGAGAGGATTACAACACAATATTTGTAACACATAAAAAATTACAAACAGGGATTTAGAGGCTGGTTTGTGAATGCAGAAACCACTCCAAACCTTTCCTTCCAAATCCAGTTGTGACCAATAAACAAACCAACACAGCTGGAAGTCGAATCCCTTTTTTTACCTTTGGTTCTGAACTAAGCTCAGCTTTTAAATGAAGCTCATCATTTTGCACTAAACGAGTGCATTTTCTGTTAGGGGAAGCATAGGAAGACTGTTCCTCATCCCCAAAATCTAACATACAACCCTTGGAATGCCTGTAGGACACGCTTTGTTCTCAGGGATGCAAACACTGTGTCTGCTTCACAGATTTATTCATGAGATGTAGAAAAGATGCATTCAGGACAAATATAATTCTGAACCATCTGGGTGCTAATCCATTCATAAGCCAGTGATAACATTTGTACACTTACGGAGAGTTTTGGGCAGAATTTTTAGCCTGAGAGGTGTGTGAGCTGCTGGTCTCTGCCTCAAGGCAAACCTCAAAATATCACTGCAGCACCCAGGACTGTAAGAAATGTTCCCAGCACTCTCGTGATGATGATCCTTGAGTGGCTGATGTATTTGAAAAATAAGCATTGTGCCTTTTCCACATACAGTATTTAGGTGCATACACAGCAGTTTTGGGGTTCTGGGAAAGATTTTAGCATCTGATGAAGATCCTTAGGATTGACTTGGGACAATCAAACCTGACAGGGAGCCTGTCACTGCCATCCTGACACCTCAACAATCTGAATTATCAGCTAGAGAATCTTTTATTTTGTTCTACAGACAGGCCTCACAGTCCTCTTCCCTATCCTGCTTTTTACCCCAAATTCCACCTCCCCTTCTATCAGTGCCAAAGCTGGGTCACCAGCACAGCCTGAGAGAGCTCCAGTGATTCACTGGCAGGAGCTGCAGCATCTCCTCATCCCTGTGGACCCAAATCCTTCCTCTCCTCTCAAACCAAAGGCAAGGGCAGAGCTGCTGCACAGCTCCAGGAGATGTGGGGCTCTGGAGCAGATTGTGCTGGAGGAGGTGAGCTCACACTCCAGGGTGGGAGATCACAGAATCATGGAATGGTTATGATTGGAAGGGACCCTAAAGCCCATCCAGTGCCCCCCCCTGCCAATGGACCCTTTCCACCATCCCAGGCTACTCCAAGCCCCCTCCAGCCTGGCCTTGGGCACTGCCAGGGATCCAGGGGCAGCCACAGCTGCTCTGGGCACCCTGTGCCAGGGCCTGCCCACCCTCCCAGCCAACAATTCCTTCCCAATATCCCATCCAGCCCTGCCCTCTGGCAGTGGGAGCCATTCCCTGTGTCCTGTCCCTCCAGGCCTTGTCCCCAGTCCCTCTCCAGCTCTCCTGGAGCCCCTTTAGGCCCTGCAAGGGGCTTGTAGCTGTCCCTGGAGCCTTCTCTTCTCCAGGTGAGCACCCCCAGCCCTCCCAGCTGGAATCCACGGCACAGAGGCTCCTCTGCACTCATTCCCACAGGTCAATGCCTTTCTTGTGTTGGGAACTGAGGAAGGTAACAGCCTCTTCCCTGCCCTCCTCCACAGACAACTGAGCAGTGACACAACTCTCCTCCATGGCACCAACCCCCTGGGAGCAGCATTTGTCCCTCCCCCACCAACAGAGATGTTCTGACACAACTCCAAGTTCACACTTCAGTTATGAAATGCTGCATTTTCCCTCCCTCCCAGACACTGCTCTGGCACTTCCACAGCAGAGAAGACAAGCACCAGTGCCACTCAGTCTTACTTTGGCTTGGTTGGAGCAGTCGTAGCGCATCCTCTGCCTGTTCTTGTTCATTTTGTTCATCAGCATTTTCCCCGTGCGGAAGTCAAAGGTGCCCAGGTCCATGGAGCTGCCCAAGTAACGCGCCAGCTGCGGCTTGCTCCGGAACTTCTTCCCACTGGGGCTGCAGAAAACACACCAGAGACACAAGGAGGGAAACTTAAACCCTCAGAACTTCCACAGTGGCGTCTCTACAACTCAAGAGAGGTAATTTTGATTTCCTTTCTGAAAAACACATGCTGGACTTTCAAGAATGAAGCTCACATTCAACTCTAAAATGTGTGGTTTTCCTCTCATATTGACTCTTTCTTGTGTGGAACAAACAAATTAAGTTAAAATGTTTTTATATGTCAAGAGGAAGATTCAGATCAAGTAAACAAATGTAGCATAATGCACACAAAGCCATCAAGAGAGATCTCAGCACAGATGCATTTTTCATTCAGTTGTCTCTCATAGTAAATACCCATTTTCAAGTATAATTTCTTCTCCCAGGACTGTTGCATTTGATTAGCACCACAAATGCACCTTGTCTCCTCTCCCTGCCCCTTGAACAGCACATTCAGGTTTGATTCTATGTCTTCTGTAGTACCTTGAAGACTTCAGAAAAGGAGAAAACCAGAAGTTAACTACTGACAAGCTGCAAAGCAAAGAATCCCAAAGTGATGCAAAGTTCAATGTCAAAACCTTGTAAAACTTTCCATTAATGGCAACAGGGAAGAGAGATTCTTCTGTAACACCTGGGTTTCCACAAAGACTCAATCTAGAGAGCAGGCACAAACTATTCCAAATCTTTATTGATGTTTTCTTTGGGTTTTTTGTGTTTTTGTTTTTGTTGGGTTTTTTTAAATAATCCAGTATCATAAACTACTTTTTTATTAATAAACATAAATAAGCCAGTGTGCTACGGCTGCAGTGTAGGACTGCAAAGACAATAAGCACCTTCTCCCTGAGCATCATAACACCACCTCTTTATTCCCTCGATTACTCTCACTTCTGGTTTTCTCCACATTCCAACTTGCATATTCAATCCTAGTTCACATCCAGGAGAAGCTCATTCCCTGTATATCCATCCCACTATCACAGGTTAATGGGTTGGAAAGCATTTTAAGACCAAAAATGCCAGTTAGCACCTTACCTCAAACTGGTGAGAACAAAATAAAACAAAAGGAAAAGTCTATTTTCACATATTGTCTGCTGCCCTAAAGCTTTATTAGGGGGAAACCAGCATAAGCAAAGAATTTCTGGTATAGAACAGTGACAAAGCAATTAGGCTAAGTCAGACTATGCATGAAAAAAAGAAAATAGATTAAAAAACAAACCCAGAAAGTACTGAAATACTAAAAGCTCTCCAAAAAGTGAGAGAAATTTAATATAAATAAATTACACTAAAACTGAAATTAGAAAAAGTCTCTTGAAGGAGTTAAGACTGAAAGGTTGTGGTGATCCCACACAGCATCTGCTTAGGAAGCTCCTGGCTCCAACTGCTCCCAAGCTGCTTATCCTGCCTGGATCTCCTCCCTGCCACCACCACTGCTCACACAGCCCAGTGTTCATGCAAATGAACCAGCTGAGGAAAATAATCTGTCTTTAGACGGCAGGGAGAGGAGGAGGAAACACTCCCTCACTGGTTATTCCTCAGCTGGACCAGCACTTGGGTCAGGGAGCAACACAGAGTAGGACCAAGAAGCCAGGAACAGAGCCTGTGTCCAGCCTCAAATTTGTGAGTCAATTTTTAAAACTATAAAGGGAGTTATTTGCCTCAATCCAGAAAGAGGAATAACCAACTCCAGCAGCTTTAGGGCAGAGCTGTTGCTGCCAGTGAAGCCAGGAAGAGAAACTCTTGCTACATTAAGAACATGGCACTGCTTTCCTCTTCCAAGATCTGCTGCTCCAATTTAGGATTTAGTGTCTTAGCAGGTTTAAAAATAATGCATTAAAGTGCAGAGTAACTTCCAGAACAGCCTCAAAGACAGGATTTTAAGTGAACAGAGCCCTTCATCTCTTGTGTGTTTAGTATGTGCTGTGGTCATTTTGTAAGGAAGAACTGAAAAGCTGCTCAGAGTCTCAAAAAACCCACCTGAAATGACTGAGAGTCCTGTCTCTTCCTGGGGAAGCTTGGCCCAAAGGAAAAGCACTGAAATGTTCAGAAGAAAAACTTTTATTCTGATTAGGTCTTGCAAAAGGCAGGATCATCCCCAGGCTGTCTGGGACAACAGCAGACCAGGGAGCAAAGCTATGACCAAAAGGTGACAGTGAACTGAGAAACGAAGGGGTGGGGTGCCCTGGAGCTCCTGGGGACCCTCTGGCAGGAGCATGCAGGACATTGGGGCACCTACACACACCTGGGGGGGTCAGAGGAACCCAAAACTCGATTCCTGCTGCACATCAGCACACACAGAAACTCCCCTAACACCACAGAACTCTGAGTCCTGTTAAAGTGCCCTTTAAATGTCACAAAATACTGAATTTACCTCCTTCTGCTGCTCTTGCACTCCTGGCTTTGTGCAAGGATTTTAAAGAGGCCCAGAAACGAGACATTTTTGTATAAAGCTGCAAACCCCAACCTCTGCTCTGTAACATCCCCCCAGGGAGCAACGCTGAGAGCCCAGATTGATCCCGGGCTCCTGAATTAGGCTCGGTCACAGTTCCCCGTGTGTGAAAGGCAAGGACACGGCCAAGCTGCAAAGGAGTTTACAAGTTGCAAAGGATTTTCCATGCTCATCCATCACCAGGCTCCAGGGCTTTATTCACTTGGGCCGCTTGGCTCCCGCGAACAAAACAGACCTGGCTGCTGGGACCCACCCCGAGGCACCCCCAGCTCTCATTCCCAGACTTTTCCGTGTGGATTAAGCCGCGTTCAGGGCAGTCTATAGAAGGGCCAGGCCTGCCAGGTGCCCCTGCTCTCCATGTGCAGCTCACCCTTTGTTTCCTGCCTTATATCCTTAAGGAGAGAGCGGCTGCCCAGGCCCTCTCCCCTCCTCCCTCATCACAGTCTCCTCCCCTCCGCTCTCCCATTTAGCCTGCACAAGATCTGCACAACTTGGGAAGCAAGGGACAAAAGACAAAAAAAAACCTTGAGCAAACCCAGCCACCGCCTGCCTCTGGAAGAAATGGAGGCAGGAATAACCCAGGGAAAGCGGGTCACTGAAAGCAGACTCACACTCAGAGCCTCGTTCCCTCGCTGGATGGAGCAAGGGAAGAACACAAAATGATTCTACTTCTTGATTTCCATCGTGCTCCCTCCCTCAGTTGTCTCCCCAGCTCTGCTCCAGGCAAATCCCAGCACCAGGGGCTCCCGGAGGGCTGCAGGACCTCTCGACGGTGCTCGCAGGGAGATGGGGACCCCAGGACACCCCACAACCCACCACTGACCGTGTCTCTCTCACAGCATCCTCACGTTATCCCTGATGCAGATTCCACACCCAGCCCTGCCTCGGGGTCCCACTCTACAGCTGGGTTATGCTGGGATGGGCTGGCACAGCCATAAAAACCAACCAGGTGGGCGACACCTCCAGCTGCCACAGTCCACCCCACACCCTGAAACATTCACAGCCCCATCCCACAGCTCCGAACAGAGCAGCCTTGGGGACCCCACCTGTCCTGTCCCACTGGGGCTGCCCCAAGCACCTGGAAGGGATGATGCTCCCAAGGGATGATGCTCCCAAGGGATGATGCTCCCTGCCTTGGAGGGCAGTGGGGTGGGGGGGTGGGGGGGGTCTTCGTTCAGCAACTTGGACTCCAATCATACCAAAATTAAACCCCCAAAAAATTCCCAAACCCCAAAGCACTCGGAGACACACAAAATCTCCTAAATTTGCAGAAGCATGACAACCCTATAGAAGAGCCCAAGTGGCAGCTCCATAACAATGGTGGGACAAACACAAATACAACCAAATGATTTTATAGGGCTCAACTCAGGCATCATGGAATCATGGAATTGTTAAGGATGGAAAAGACCTTTAAGATCATCAGATGCAACCATCACTCCAGCATCACCACCATGTTCACCACTAAACCATGTCCCCAAGTGCCACATCCATTATGTTCTTGAACATTTCCAGTGATGATGACACCACCACTGCCCTGGGCAGCCTGTTCTAATTCTTTACAACCCTTTCCAGGAAAAAAATCTCCCTAATACTCAACCTAAATGTCCCCGGTGCAACTTGAGGCTATTTCCTTCTCATGAGAGAAATCGTGAGTTTCCCTGCAGGCAAACCAGAGCAACAGAGGAAGAGCAAAGCACAGACTCAGTAAAAGCATTCTGCTCCACAATTTTTTTTTTTGGAAGAGATTGTACTGATCAAAATATCCATGAAGGAGTGTTAAAACATTCCCTTCCAACTTCTTACATTTGTGCTGCAAAGGTAGGGAATTCTCAACAAAAGAAGTTTCACACAAGAGTGTGAAGTTTCCCAGCACAGTGATGTCAACAACCTGAGGCAGAGACAAGCAGCGATCCCAGATTTCTGACACTTGGTCATCAAACCTTCAGGAGAAAAACACTCTGAAGAAAAAAGCCCCACAAAGCAGCACTAAATTCTCCTTCCCCCATGTGAGAACCCTGAGCTTGAAAAGAGCCAAAACTCTCTCAAAGACAACCTGCCACTTTGACAAAATCCCAGACACGATTTTATTCCTTAAACCCTCCATCCCTGAACTTTTCCTGCTCACTCCAAATCCAGCCCACAAGTCCCACTGTATCAGCCAGAAACCCTCCTAAGGATGAGGTTCGAGACTAGCTTTAAAAACCTGCCCAGGTACTCACACCTTGAGGTAAATGTAATTTCCAGCCAGAGACTGGCTCACACACACATCTCCCAGGGGGTTTTCCACAAACCCTCCCTGCATCTGTACATCCCCAGGAGCTGGACAGAACAATCACCCGGGCAAACAACAGGCAGAACTCGCACAGGTATTACTGAACTGCCACACCTGTATTTGCCACTCTGAGGTAATGCAAAATGCAACAGAAACCAAAAATTAGCGCAACAAAGCTCTATTCTACCTTTGATCTCAATCCAAATTGATACAAAGGGAAAACCCATAATAATTTGGGAATAAAAACATGCTACTTATCCTCTCTCCCCCTTTTTTTTAAAGTTCAGCTCTGACACTGTAACTTAACAAACAAGTTCTGGGAAAAGCAGGATCTTTGAAGCTTTCAGCTGCTGCTGGTGGTCTCATCGTGCCCTCAGCCTCTGAGCTGCAGCAACAGAATCGGCTTCACGCTCTCGAGGATGGCACCTTCTGGTTCACTCATCCTTTTCTCACAACCATAATCTGAGTCTAAAAATGAAACCTGAAGCTAAAGCTGTGGCTGCCCAATCCCTGGAAGTGTTCAAGGCCAGGCTGGACGGGGCTGGGAACAGGGGGTGGAATAAGATGGGCTTTAAGTCCCTCCCAACCCAAACCATCCTGTGAGGATTCTGTGACAGATGCACAAGTTGATGGTGTGGATTTTGCCGACGAGCAGGGCCAGGTGAGGACACAGGGCCAGCTCCTGCTGCGTTCCCAGCTCCCGCTGGACCCGAGTTTCACACCTCAGCCCGCGGGTGCCTCGTGGGTGCGGGGAGGATCCATATGGCCACCTACAGCCATATGAGCCATACAGGGCTATAAATAGAAACCCTCCAGCTCCCGGGCCATGCGCTCCCCCCACAGCCACACTCCCGGGAAGGCGCATCCCGAGCCCGCCCCGCGGCCACCACCGCGAGCAGCCGGCGCTCCCTCCCCAGAATTCCTAAGTACACCCAAAAAGCAGCAGAGCGAGCCCCGAGAAAGGAGAAACAACATCCCTGCTGCTCATCTGAGAATAAAGAACCCCCGTTCGCAGGGCACGAGCCGCTCTGAGGGGACGCGGGGGCTCCTCACGGCGCTCCCCCATCCCTGAGGGGGGACCGAGCATCCCCGACCCCCCCGCGGCTGCCCCGGGCCAGGTCCCCGCTCCCTTCCCCTCCACCTGTGGCTGCAGCCCCGGCCCGGCCTCCCGCGGCCCCCCCGCGCCCGGGGCGGCCCCGCCGAGCGCTCCCACCTCTTCCGCTCCATGGCGGCTCCTCCCGGCCCGCTCCCGCCTGGCTCCGGCCGGCTCCCGCCACCTCTTCCCGGCCGCCGCGCTCTGCTCCCGCCGCCGGCTCCTCCGCGCTCCCGCTGCCCCCGGGAGGCGGCGCCGCGGCCCCGGCTCGTCCCGTTCTTTTCCCGGTCCCGGTCCCGGTCCCGTTCCCGCGGGCGCCGCCGGGCCCTGGCCCCGCTCCCGCCCTCCGGTGAGCGCCGCTCCCTCCGCCCGCCCCTTCCACCCACCCGGCCGCCTCCCACCTCCCGCCGCGCCCGGATCCCTCCGCCCGCATATAGTCCCTCCCCCCGCCGCCCCCACGTGGGAGCTCCCCTGTCCCAGCGCCGCTCCCCCCGGCGAACCCCCACGGTCCCGGCCTTACCCCAGCGCCGAGCGCCGCTGTCCCCCCCGGTGTCCCGGCAGCGCCGCTTTGGGCATCTTCCCCCGCGCCCGCCCCGGCCGCACTGGCGGCCCCGCGACCCCCGGCCCCGCCCCGCGCCCCGGAGCCGCCCGGACCCCCGGGGAGATGGGGCTGCCCCCGGGGGGCTCGCGGGGATCGTTCCGTGCAGCAGCAGCGTACCAACAACAACAGCGAAAAAACGCTTAAAGAAAACCCCAACAAAAAAAAAGGGGAAATCTGCACATGAGGAGCTGGAGTGAAGACAAAGCAATGAAAAGTTTTTCAGGAAAGCGTGTAAACCAACACCTACTGCAGCTGCAGTGGCAAATTCCCTCCTATGGTACCGCCAGGAGAGGCATTTGCCTCCTGCTGCCAAGGAACATCCACTGGGAGCCCCAGCTTTGGGGATGAGGTACCATCCAACCCCTGAACTCCGGCAGCTCGTGTTCCTCACCATTCCAGTATCCACATGCTGGGAAACTGCACAAGGCAGCCTCCTTCCCAAAGCAAGTCAGAGGAACCAATTTTCCTTTAATGCATGATGTATTAGATTTTTGTTAAGAATCCTGCTTGGAGCAGCAGTTGGAAGGGATCAGTGTCAGACACTACAGCAGGAGGGTCCATAGGAGTGTGTCCACTCTCTCCAGCCACCGCTCTGGGTCTGACATCAAACTCTGTTTGTGTCAATAGCCAGTGCTTCTTCCAGTCCTCAGCTGGCAGTAACTTAGAATCTTGGGATATCCTGAGTTGGAAAGGACCCTCGGGGATCATTGATCCAACCCTGGCCAGACCCCCCAACAAGCCCACCCTGAGCATCCCTGAGAGCGCTGTCCAAACGCTCCTGGAGCTCTGGCAGCCTTGGGGCCGGGCCCATTCCCTGGGGAGCCTGGGCAGTGCCAGCAGCCTCGGGGGGAAGAACCTTGCCCTGAGATCCATCCCAAGCCCTGGCACAGCTCCAGCCCTTCCTGGGCTCCTGTCCCTGTCCCAGAGCAGAGCTCAGCCCCTGCCCCTCCGCCTCCCCTCGGGAGGAGCTGCAGCCCCCGAGGAGCCTCCCCTCAGTCTCCTCTGCTCCAGCTGAACGAGCCAAGTGCCCTCAGCTGCTCCTCAGAGCCTTCCCCAGCTCCGTGTCCCTCCTCTGGACACTCTCCAACAGCTTTGGATCCTCCTGATCTTGTGGTGCCCCAAGTGCCCCCAGCACTGGAGGTGAGGCTGCCCCAGTGCAGAGCAGAGCGGGACAATCCCTCCCTGGGCCTGGTGGCCCTTTGGGCTGCCAGGACTCACTGGTGACTCAGATCCAACTTGCCACCAACCAGGACCCCCAGGTCCCTTGCCAGGGCGCTGCTCTCCAGCCTCTCATTCCCAGTCTGTCCCTGCACCCAGGGCTGCCCCATCCCAGGGCAGGAACCAGGACTGACCATCGTTAAACATCACATGGTTAGGTACTAGTGATTACACTTTTTTTCAAGTCAGGGCTCCCTCACTCATTTCAAACTCCCTCGTTTGAAAAGCAGCAGGAGATTGAGGGAGGATGTGACATGCCATGGATGAGAGGGAAGCCCACACCCCCACAATGGGCTGCAAATTGTCCAGGCTTAGAAACTGGAAATTTCCAAGATCCAGGTGTGCCTGTAGGTGCCGGTTTGCATTTGCTTTGTTTAAAAAGGTTTAAGATCCGTGAGGGTGAAGGTGGTGTCTTTAATTTGATCAATGCTGAGCTTTGCCCTGAAGGCATTCCAGCTCCCCAGGTACCGGGGTGTGGTGGTTTATGTTGTCTCCTCTGGGCTCACAGGTAGGAAATGTCTCGCTCGGCCATTGCTGTTATTTTCTGCAGTCTTGCACAAAAGAGATGGAGAACTTCCAATTCCCGTTATTGATCAAACCCACACTATTTTCCATAAATGCACTTCCTTGTTTTTTTTAATAAAAACACCCCAAACCCCACAATCCAGCTGAACTGATACTGTTGGAACAAAAAACTTGTACTGACATGGAGCTTTAGAGTGCGAAGGGGAAACTGAAGCACGGTGAAACCTTCAGTGGTATCTTTTAACAATGAAGTGGCAGAGCTGGGAGTAAGCGGAGCTGTGGGTTTGGATGTGGAAGAGGATCCCTGAAATGTCCTCTGGACCTCGAGCTGACTGTATCAAGAGGTAGAAAATCAGATTTCACTGGCAGCTGGCACGGGTTTATGCAAGGGAAACATTTACTCTCTCCTAGGACTGCGTGAAATGTTTGGGTAGAAATGAACCCTTGAGCTGAAGGGAAAATACACCAGTGTTCCTCTGGGAACACTGCCAAGGTGAGGTATTTGCAGGTACAACCAGCAGCTGAAAGTGGATTCAGCTGCCAGACTCTGTGTGGCCCTAGGATGAGCAGATAATCCAAAAAATCACCAAAATCAGTTGTTGTCAGGCACAGAAGGAAGCAGCAGGATAACCCAAAAGAAGAACTCCTGATTTCACTCTGCAGGAATCTGTGGTTTGAAGCTTCCTACTCCGCACTCCCAGAGCTAGTTGAGGAGCTTATTCCGGAGCAGGATTTGCCATGGAATTCCCAAACCAGGAGCCCCAGCAGAGGCTCTTCCAGGAGAAGAGACCAACAAGGGCTGTTGCAGGCTCACTGTGCTGAGGTGGCTGCAGTAAAAAAACCCTGTCCCATCTCCACTTGCACATTCCACCAGGGAAGTGAAGTGGGGGTACCACAGCAAGGACAAACACTTGGGAGAGGCAGGCAGGAATGCAAAGCCTCCCTTTTCTTAGGGGCTGTTTCAAAGCTACATCATCAACCCAGAGCTTCTCTGATGCTTGTAAATCCAAAGCTACCTCTGTGCCCTCTCCAGGTTTGGAAGGGGAAGCTTGTTCCCTCTCTGTCAGGTAATTGTTTTTTAATTTGTTTCTCTAACATATGTGGCATTCATAGCTCATTATGAAAATAATTAACTGTTAGAAGAGAGGCAATGCTAGGATATTAAACATTAGAAAGATCACCCATGCCACTTGAACAGTAATTATTTGAATTTTAACAGAGACTTGCCCAAGAATGCAGAAGGTATTTTCAAGAGTGTGTTTCTTGCTCTTGTAGCAAGAGAAATATAGCAATTAAATCAGTTATACACTAATCCTAGGGTTAATTAGCAATAAATCCATCACTGGGAATGCTGTCTGAAGAACAAGGAGCTGAACAATCCTCAAACAAATCCAAGGTCTATACACTCCCTGCAGTGCTGCCTGTGCACACAGCTGGGATTTTAAATGTTTTTCTCCTTTCAGTATCTCATCTCACCTGCTGGGCACACCTCTACCACCGGGGCTGTGTAAAGGGGACTGTCACCACTGACTGACAGCTCAGGGACCCCAGAGTCCTCAGAGGGATGGACACCACAGACCCCCAGCTTCAGGCTCCCCAAAGAACTCCAAGCCGTGGGAACACATCACTCACCCATGGGAACAAGGCAAAACCAGGGAATTTCTGCAGCAGCAGGTTATACCCATCCTGTCCACAGGTGTTACACAGGTAAAGTAAGAGCAGGGACTGAGCTGTCCTGACCTGAGGTTACAATCCTGCTGCTGTGCAAGGACAGGCTGATGGAATATCCACTTTCCAGGCATAATTTAGCTGTAAATGGATCAGTATCAACAACTCTACATGTGGCAGAGGGCTGCTGTTGTCAGACCTACACTCTCAGTATCCTGAGGTTCAGGTGAGGCTTTGGCCTCCTGTGGGTCTGTCAGGAGCACTGCTGGAGCAGGGATGGGACAGCCTGAGGAACCAGCACCCTTATCCCACTATTCCACAAGCTTCTGTTCCACCAGGCTCCCAGGGAAGCTCCCCAAGGCTGCCAGAGCTCCAGGAGCATTTGCACAACACTCTCAGCGAGGCACGGGGTGGGATTGTTGGGTGTCTGTTCAGGGCCAGGAGCTGGACTTAAGGTCCCCTGTGAGTTCCTTCTCACTGAGGATATTCAAGATTATGTGATTGTATCTTATTGGACACAGAAGAGCAGCAAAAGGAGGTTTCTGCATGTGAAAATAATATTCTTTGCCCCCAGTTAATTAACAACGATGCTGCTGAAGCAACATTAAGAAATTTTACTGTCAATTAAATAATCCAAGTGTCCTGCATAGTGCCACTGTTTGGACAGGTTTTCCAACAGTCTTCCATAGAAACATCCCTGAGGGTGACACAGCCCTGACAGTGACACATAGACAGCACAGCCAGAACTGGGATTTTCCCCCTAAAGAGATTCAAACCTTGCATTACAGCCAAACATTCTAGTAAGATGAAATTGGGCACTAAGCAGAGAGAAAACAGGGACCCTGTTCTCACACAGAGGAAGTTTGTTTGTAAATTCTGGTCTTTGTGAAAAGGGATGAACTTTTCCCCTCTGAGTCATCTGTGGCTGAGTGGCAGAGACCAGAGCTAAATAATCCTCATTCTTCCTTTTTCTAACAGCTAAAAACTCTCATCTAAAGGGGTTGTGGTAGGGGTTTTCTAACAGCTAAGAACTCTCACCTAAAGGCCTTTCTTTGTGGGTTGTTTCATCATTGATATAAGTTCACAAATAAAGAGATCTATGAATAAAGGATATAGATTTTTTTTTTTCTACTCAACTCCAAATTAAGAATGGAACAGCTCCCTGAACCCCTTGT